AGGGAAAGAACAGAGGATGGGAGGAGAAGAGAGGGCTCAGGACAAGAACGTAAGGCAGTGCCTGTGTTTGAGCCAGTCTGAGCAAGTGAGACAGACAGGAGAGGTAAAGGAAACGTACCTCAATGTCACAGCATAAGGAAGGTAAAAGCTGGGTTGAGAAGTGAGAGCAGATGTTCTGAAGAGGGCAGGACCCAGGGAAGATAGAGCAACCTTACAAAAGAGGAGTGATACCATTCAAGGGACTTATTTCAATAGAATAGAGCAGTAAAGCACACTGCAGTGGATTAAGGAATAAGAGTGGCCGTCAGAACTCAAGCTTCAAAGCAAGGACATTTGGATATGAACAGACTGTTGGAAAACTGGGGAGGGTTCTTTTTTTCCATCAGGGAGATTGAATTTGTTTGTGAGGCTGACAGGAGGAAAGCAGCAGAGGGTCATGTCTTTGATTTTTGAATGTCTAGTTCTATTCCAGGCTTCAGCGATACATGAACTGTGAACTTCCAGATGTTCAAGCTGGTTTTAGAAAAGGCAGAGGAACCAGAGATCAAATTGCCAAGATCCATTGGATCATCAAAAAAGCAAGAGATTTCCAGAAAAACATCTATTTCTGCTTTATTGACTATGCCAAAGCCTTTGACTGTGTGGATCACAATAAACTGTGGAAAATTCTGAAGGAAATGGGAATACCAGACCACCTGACCTGCCTCTTGAGAAACCTGTATGCAGGTCAGGAAGCAACAGTTAGAACTGGACATGGAACAACAGACTGGTTCCAAATAGGAAAAGGAGTATGTCAAGGCTGTATATTGTCACCCTGCTTATTTAACTTCTATGCAGAGTACATCATGAGAAATGCTGGGCTGGGAGAAGCACAAGCTGGAATCAAGATTGCCGGGAGAAATATCAATCACCTCAGATATGCAGATGACACCACCCTTATGGCAGAAAGTGAAGAAGAACTAAAGAGCCTCTTGATGAAAGTGAAAGAGGAGAGTGAAAAAGTTGGTTTAAAGCTCCACATTCAGAAAACTAAGATCATGGCATCTAGTCCCATCACTTCATGGGAAATAGATGGGGAAACAGTGGAAGCAGTGTCAGACTTTATTTTTGGGGGCTCCAAAATCACTGCAGATGGTGATGGCAGCCATGAAATTAAAAGACGCTTACTCCTTGGAAGGAAAGTTATGACCAACCTAGATAGCATATTAAAAAGCAGAGACATTACTTTGCCAACAAAGGTCCATCTAGTCAAGGCTATGGTTTTTCCAGTGGTCATGTATGGATGTGAGAGTTGGACTATAAAGAAAGCTGAGTGCTGAAGAATTGATGCTTTTGAACTGTGGTGTTGGAGAAGACTCTTGAGAGTCCCTTGGACTGCAAGAAGATCCAACCAGTCCATCCTAAAGGAGATCAGTCCTGGGTGTTCATTGGAAGGACTGATGCTGAAGCTGAAACTCCAACACTTGACCACCTAACGTGAAGAGCTGACTCATCGGAAAAGACCCTGATGCTGAGAAAGATTGAGGGCAGGAGGAGAAGGGGACAACAGAGGATGAGATGGTTGGATGGCATCACCGACTCAATGGACATGGGTTTGGGTGGACTCTGGGAGCTGGTGATGGACAGGGAGGCCTGGAGTGCTACAGTTCATGGGGTCGCAAAGAGTCAGACACAACTGAGCAACTGAACTGAACTGAAGTTCTATTCCATGCAATAACTTACGTGATGTTTTATTGGATGGACAGGAGAGATATCTTTCAATTTGGAAGGCTTTTTCAAAAACACCCAAGGATATTTGAAAAGAAACATTCAAGTGCACATTTTCTTGATTTAACATGTCACAGGTGTTGAAAGAATGAAAATTTCACGGACTAACTTTAGCTAATTGGTGGACTTGGTAGTTCAGCAATAGAATCAAAGACCATTAGGTAGCTTCCATTCACCAGTGAACCAAGATTAGTAGTTGGATAGCTCTCATCTATCTGAGAGATGACTGGCAAGCTAATGCATTCCCTCTCCAAGCAGTGCTCAAGTGGAGTGCAGTGGTGAATATAAGAGCTTTGGAGCAAGCCTGCCAAGTGCCCCTGGAGTAAATGGATGATGGTCTGTATGCCTCAGTTTCCCTATGGATAAAATAGAGCTACTGAGACTATTTCATAGAGCTATTATGAAGATTATATAGGTTAATACAGATGGAAAAGCTTAGAATACCAGATAGGCAGGAAATGCTCAAAAAAAATTCACTATTCTTTTCCATACATTCTAATGCTGTGTTGTGCTAAGTTGCTTCAGTCATGTCTAACTCTTGGTGACCCCATTGACTGTAGCCCGGCAGGCTCCTCTGTCCATGGGATTCTCCAGACAAGAATACTGAAGTGAGTTGCCATTTCCTTCTCCAGGGGATCTCCCCAACCCAGGATCTTATGTCTCCTGCATTGGCAGGTGGGTTCTTTACCACTAGTGCCATCTGGGAAGCTCATATATTTCAATACACACATGGAAATTTGATTTTTATGAAGGTAATCTCAGGCTCCACTCTCTCATGTGTGGTCACCTTAACGAGGCTGTTCAGAGACAGAAATGATGCTACTGAATTGTCATCGTGGTACATGAACTTTCAATTATTTTTCCAGGAATGATAGAGGATTTTCCCTGAACACCACTCTCTCTGTAGTAGTCCTCCTTCTAAACCATGGCGATTATTGGCAAATCAAGAAGCTAGGCAGTGTTAGAGATACAGCCTGTGGCTAGGGAACTGTTTTTCACCTTCAGAGCAAGGTGGGCCAGATGGGAATGGAACCTTGACCTCATTAATGCCACATTTCCAACCAGCCCAGCTAACCAAGCCAGGCATGCAGTGCCTTGCAGATTTTGAGCTCTCTGAAAAATGTCAACTTGTCCCATCACCAAGAAAAAGTGTTAAGAACTAAAGAGCTATTATTTCCATTTGCCCAAGCTAAAATTAGATCAACCAGGTCCTGAGAAATCTAGTCTGGACCTAGGACTAGACTTCATCCAGGCTTTGTGCCAACACATGGTTGGCATTCAATACCTGCCATCTGGGTTGACCTATCACTGAGGCTAAATTCCTAAGCAGCCATAATAAAAAGAGTAACCTGCCTGAAGATCAAAATAACAGTAAGTAGAAGGTATGTCAGTATTTTATATGACTTTGCCTGGCCAGTTAAGAACCAGGTGTTCAAAGTTTTAACTATGACTATATATTCAGTTCAGCACAGATTTTTATATGCACTTCCCTGAAGGTAAAGTACTTAGCCTTCTAAGTCAACTTTACAGCCTCTTTCTGCTTTCACCTTAATGGATAACATCCGTCCACAAATTTGTAACATCAGTGAATGCTAATAATGACTGCGGAGAATTCCACTCCTATTTGAAAGTTAAGACATTTTCAGCTTCATTTCAGAGTGTGGCTTCATCTAAAAGTTAATCAACCTCAACCTCAGAGATTTAACAAAAACAGAAGAATCGCTCTGAGACCAACCTGTGTTCCACCTAAGACTCTGAGGGAAAGTGAAGAGGTTGATCTCTTTATTGGATCCAACATGCGGAGGCAGCTACTCACCCTACTCGCTGGCGTGAACCTCTACCAGCCACATAAGGGAGGAAAATATCGCAGGCAGCCTCCCATATGGCTTGTGAAGTAAAAAAGACTATCACCCTGAATGTTTTGGTCTTCATAATACCTGTAGCTCAATCCTTGCAGTAAATACCAAAATTAAGAGCTGGATTTCCTTATCATTTCATTTCAGGCTCTTTGTCCTGCTTGTCTCCTGAATTAAGATGATGGAGAATCATTTCCAAGGATTTCATTAAAATTCTATAGACCCAGGTTTCTTTTTAATTCATTAAATTATTATTTAGTTTTTGATCATACCACGTGGCATTTGGGATCTTAATTCCCCAACCAGGGATTGAACCCACGTCCCCTACACTGGAAGAAGATTCTTAACCTATGAATCACCAGGGAAGTCCCAGACTCGAGTCTCTTAACCAATCAAGTCCTTCTTTATTTTCCCCCATCTATAAAATGCCTTATTGACAGCACTTGGAGGAATAGGTGATAATTAAATAAAAGAAGAATGTATTTCTCACTTGGATCTTTGGTAGAAAATAATTACAACGTGTATGTGTGTGTGTGTGCAGTCTCATTTTTAGAATGTGAGTGAGAAAGCAGAGGATGAGATGGTTAGATAGCATCACCAACCCAATGGACATGAATTTGAGCAAACTCTGGGAGATAGTGAAGGACAGGGAATCCTAATGTGCTGCAGACCATGGAGTCAAAAAGAGTGGGACATGACTGAACGCATTTTTAGAATGGGAATGAAAAAGCATTGCGTAGCCTCGTCAAAATACTTCAGGTGTTTAACAAACTTGGAATCAACTAGCTACTACTAAGCAGTGAGATGTTAGGGATAATAGATAAGTGCCTTCCTCTTGGGCTGTAGAAACACATGGAATGTAGCTATCAATCACAGAACTGAATGATATTCAGCTAAACTATCTGACGGGGCCATTGAATTTTATCTTGAGTTTATATTCTCAAGTGGGTATGTTTTGATTGGAAAACATGATCTGAAACTTAGACATTTCCCAAAAAAGAATTCAGGCTTAATTTTCCAACAAATTTGTGCTTTTAGTTTCTTTTGGGCTTCCTAGTGGTAAAGAATCCACCTTCCAAAGCAGGAGACACCCAGGATCCATCGCTGGGTCAGGAAGATCCCCTGGAGGAGGCATGGCAACCCACTCCAGTATTCTTGCCTGGAGAATCCCATGGACAGAGGAGGCTGGTGGACTACAGTCCATAGTGTCACAAAAGAGTCAGACATGACTGAAGCAACTTAGCACACATAGCTTCTTTTATTCAGAAAATCATCTTCTTTTTCTTTGTTTTTATCCTAATGCCTAACAAATACTTTCCCATCCTTGCTGATTTTGCCCAATTTTATACCTATATAGCCCCCAGCCCCACTCATTCCTCAAGCACTGCTTACTCGCTGTGTGCCAGGCCTTGTGCTGGAGCTGGGAAAAGAAATATTTCCTCCCATGGTCTCTGCCTTCACAAAACTCATTTCCTTCCTCTCAGACAATGTGTTACCCCCATTATTTATAACCTGGGTTACTCTGCTGACTTTCTTTATGTCTTTGGAAGCTCCCATGGCCTCTCCATTGGGTATCTGTTTCAGAACTTCTTTCTCCCTGCCAAAAATTCTTTGACCCTCACACAATTTTAGGGCAGGGATCCTATGTTGTATTCTATCACATCTTCCTCTTTTAAGAGTCATTTTTCTCCAAAGTGTGAGCTTCAAGCGATAGCTTCTTTAACTACTCCTTTGCATTTCTTGGTCATCTTACAAAGGCCAACCTTCTGTGTACTTTCTAGAATACTGGAGCTTTCATTCTGCACACTCAACGCTTTGTCTGCATGTCTCTTCATAAAACTTTTGCTCTTCACCCCCACTCCTCATGCCCTCTGCAATCCTTTCAACTTCACTGCTTTTGGATATAAGAAATTGATCCAAGACAACTTAAACTTTGAGATGGGTAGTTTATCTATTCACATTACAAAATACAAGGTTCAGAGGGAAAAAAATGATTACAGCTTCAATGGTTTTCAAAGCATATTTCACAAAAATTACCAACTTGAGAATTCTCAAGCTTGAAAGCCTAGTTGGTTCACACATTTAATATCTTAAGCCTGCATCCAATCAACCAAAAACAAATCATGCTGCAGATAAACTTCTGGACTTTCATTGCTTTCATTATTTGAGTGACTGGGCTCCAACGCTAAGAGGCATTGAGTCTGATTCAGTGCCAAGTGGCATCAAGGCATACACACCTTCTTTTCTAGGAGGCTGTCCCATTAGTCCTACACTGGGAGTATCTGAATCAGATCCAAGTTACTCTGAATTCCAAAGGTACTCTGTAGAGTCTCTCTCAATCTCTATCCTTCAGGAATATAAGGTATCACTTGATGCTTCCTGCTAAACTAGCAATCCTCTCCTTCTCCATCATTCCCTCCATCCCACCATGCCCTCTATCCCTAACCCCTCCTACCTCTTCACTTCCAAGCCTTATTGGAGATAGTGAATTTGACTAACACAGGCTAATACCTACTGAAACCAAGAGATTCAAACAATAAACAGGACAGCATTACAAGTGTACTAAATTCATTGTAGTGAACTGATTATTAGTTCAAAATGTCAACACTGGAAGATGTATTTAAATGTGTTTATCTAAAATGCTGTTCCCTTGAAACATCCCACCCTTGCCTTCTCCCACAGAGTCCAAAAGTCTGTTCTACACATCTGTGTCTCTTTGTCTGTTTTGCATATAGGGTTATCGTTACCATCTTTCTAAATTCCATATATATGTGTTAGTGTACTGTAATGGTCTTTATCTTTCTGGCTTACTTCACTCTGTATAATGGGCTCCAGTTTCATCCATCTCATTAGAACTGATTCAAATGAATTCTTTTTAATGGCTGAGTAATATTCCATGGTGTATATGTACCACAGCTTCCTTATCCATTCGTCTGCTGATGGGCTTCTAGGTTGCTTCCATGTCCTGCCTATTATAAACAGTGCTGCGATGAACATTGGGGTGCACATGTCTCTTTCAGATCTGGTTGGATGCATGAGACAAGTGCTCAGACATGGTGCACTGGGAAGAGCCAAAGGGATCGGGTCGAGAGGGAGGTGGGAGGGGGGATCGGGATGGGGAATACATGTAAATCCATGGCTAATTCATGTCAATGTATGACAAAAACCACTACAATATTGTAAAGCAATTAGCCTCCAACTAATAAAAATAAATGGGAAAAAAAAGAGAGAAAAAAATAAATAAATGTGTTTATCTAAAATGTACACATATATTGATGGATCTCCACATAATCCCCACTGTTTCTGCGTCATTTATGGGAGCCACAAAAGGTATACCCACTCCATACCATTCATTCATCATCCTGACCATCCGAACTCACTAGTAACCATCTGAGCCAAAATGCCAAAATTCTACATAAAGCCCTTACTGAAAGACCCTGTTGAAGGCCATACAAATTACATCAAAATTTTGCTAGATCAGTAAATTCAGCATAATTCAGTAAATTACAGTATAATCAGTAAATTTCAGCATAACGCTGAGCCCACTGTATACCTGTAATACATATTTTAAACTATAAAACCTCCCAGATTTGTACATCAAAGAATTAAGTGGCTCCATTAAGTAAAAATTAGACATTTAGGAGTTTGATAGGTGCTTTTTCTTAAGGAAACTAGGACCCACTGAAAATGGCATTTCATTAATTACAATTAAACCCCTATTTTCTTTTCAGGATTTTCCAATGATTATATGACTAGAAAACAAAGAACATATAACCAATGAATGCTTGGGCATTTAATACTTGTTGGACTTCAACTTTCCTTAAAAATTATCTAATTGTTAATACCATTATGAAATTCACTACTAGTGATAGAAACGACCCCCATAAATTACTTGAGGCTTGGCTAATTGAAATATATGATAGGGGTATCATATCTGTAACATACTTGGTTCAAGAAAAGTAGCTGTGTTTCATATCAAACTGGATTTGGCAGAGCACATAGGGTTTACAAATCTCTGGTGTCAGACCTGAACTAAAGCACCATTTGTTTTGGGAAGATTTGAAGAACATGAGTGAGTAGCAAAGAGTGGGTCCAGATGTTCTGCTTAAACCCAGGTGTGGCTCAATTGGCCTGTTTTGTGACGAGGGATTTTTCCAGAGCACAGGAAGCAGCACCTGTACGAGATTACACACAGATTTAAACTCGACCAAGTTGACTGCCTTCTGTCTGGTCTCTTCCTAATTGCAGTGGCTTAGATCTCAGGTGGAACTGGCCAAATGTACAGACTGTTTGCTACTGCTTGATTGAAAAATTGAAAGAGAACTCAGTGGCAGTTTGATCTTAAATAAGGAAGATCAACTACCAATATAATGAAATCAAAGTTGAGAGCATGGAAAAGATTAAAGTTCACCAAATGAATAATTAACCCAGACCTTTTTATTGCTATTCTCTCCTTTCACTCAAAAACAAACAAACAAAAACCAAAAAGAAGCATATCTCCTATACAAACTCAATATGAAATCAGAGTAATACTGAAAAAAATGGATTGCTAAGCATCCATGATGCTGTGTTGGTATTCAACAGGTTTGCCTGTAAATTGGTTTGGTGTGTGTAGATGACTTTTGGCTGCCTTATTAAAGGAAAATTCTTCTAGTAAAAATACACAGCACCCTTTTTTATATAGTAAACAGATGTCAGCCTTTCATTGTAAAGTATTTTTGATTCAGTAGATGTCAAATATTACTTTAGCAGACAATTCCTGTCTACAAAGAATACTTAACATTTGTAAGATAAAATAATGACTCAAAAGTTTTAAGGTTTTTTAGATCAGCTAATGAGACACCATTAAAACAAATAGCTTTGAAAATCTACTCTTAGCACTTTAAGGATGATCTCTATGCAATAAGATTTCTCTGGTGTATGAGTTGGCATGATAAAAACTTTGCAGTTACATGTGTTTATCTGACCAAATCTGCCATCCCATTAGTCTGTCGTGCTCTCATAAACTGCTGATTCCTTTTAGTTGCTACAGGCTGGAAGTGCCAGATGACAGAAGGCACAGTGCAGATGACCAAACCAAGACACAGCTATTTCTGAAGCCATAAGTATGTGCCAAGGACTGCAATGGAAATAGTCTTTTTTCATTATGGAACATCTAACCATTAGATGATTTTTGATCAAGTACAAGTCTATGTATATCTTTCATAAAGAAATCCTAACTCAAAGTTATTTGCTTCATATTAAAAGTATTTCACTCAAGTGGTATGACACAAACCTGGGTGGTTTCAAGGACCCCAAAGCATCTTTGCAGCATGACCTCTAAAAGGGAAACTCTCTAAGTTCTTGTGTCCCTCTAACAGCAAATTGCCCTGCCTATGTCTGCATCCCACTCAACTGATAAAGTGAGTCACGTGGTGTTTTATCCTCCCAATCTCCAAAGTGATCAGCTCCCATGACATGCAGAGACCTGTCTGCAGCTGGTAATTACCAGTCCCAAGTCTCAAACCCAATGAAAATAAAAATATCTTTCCTAATCTCTGACCAGGCAAATTCTTCAATCACTCCACATCTTAAAAATTACAAGTGAAATATTTTTAAACATTTTCTACATAATTACAATTGTTGAATATACTATTTTCTCAAGGCAGCTTATTTAGAGAGCATGATTACAATGGATTCAATGATGGTCTCTCCAAAAGATAGGTTCGTGTGCTAACACCTGAAAGAGACTTTGCAGAACCTTGAGATGAGATTAGGGGTTCCCTCATATCTCAGTTGGTAAAGAATCCACCTGCAATGCAGGAGACCCCGGTTCAATTCCCGGGTTGGGAAGATCTGCTGGAGAAGATATATCCTGGATTATCTTGGATTTAGTGCCCACCTGGATTATCCAAGTGGGAAATCTGAAATGAAGCAGGACCCTATAGTCCTTGCCCCCTGCCATGTCCTCTGCCTGCCTTTTGCCTATAAAATATTGTAGTCAGAGTAAGTTTAATCAAAGAAATGGGAAACACAGAAACAAAGGAAAACAGTCAAAGGAGACCAAATAATAGTGTTGTAGTCATTAGCATATCAAGGACCTTTAGTTCTTTCTCAAGGGCTGTAGGTATTGTTCTAAGACACATCCTGTGAGCTGTCTTATGAAACACCAGGTGAAAGAATTTAACTACATGATGACCAGACTGTACCCATGACATACGCTGCACAATTCCAAGAATTGGCCTCAGACAAATGGGAACAAATGAACCCTGGAACTGAAGATTAACTGTACCTCAAGCAACCAAGATGACGCTGGTCAGACCACCAATGACCAATTTGAAGATGATGTCAGAGCTGACTGTGCTGTTTCTGCATGAGCTGCTTCCACCACCACCAACACCTTCACTTCTGTCTATAAATGTTCTTGTCACCACTGATTGCCAGTGGGGGTGTGGGGGCAGTCAGCTTTTAGGCAGATGTCTGCTTCCCCTACCCCCACCCTCCAGCTGTTGCCAGCATCTGAAATAAAGCAATTTTCCTTTCCACCAACCTGGGCTGTTTATTGGCTTTTGAGCAGTGAGCAGCCAAATCCCACTACATACCTTTCAGTTACAAGCCCAGTGACAAATGGAGACAGAAGAAGAAAAGACACAGACCCAGAGAGAAGGTCCTGTGAAAACAAAGGCAAAAACTGGCAAGATGTA